ACAATTTTGGCACTTCTCTGTTTTTGTCCTTTCCGAACATTTTAGTCTACCTATTCTCGCTGTTTTGGTCTGTGCAGTCTCGTTCTGGCATTACGTCATATTCAGTCGTTGGTGCTAAGTTGTATTGTCATGTTTTTAGAATGTTCAGTGGTCGAAAAGTAACATAACACATTGACTAACGACTGAAGATGGCAAAAATTGCTACGAGACTGATAGACTAGATTCAGCTAGGATGTGAAGACAAAAATTATCGGAAACGATGTGTGTCAAGCCAACAGGTACTAAGTAGTTTTAATTTTCGGTCATATCGACTTTTCAACACAATCATAAGCAAATTGGCTGTTACAGATCATTTCGGTCCGCTTAGCCTCGCTTGTTTTGGTCTGGCAGTCACGTTTCTGAATTTTACCAGCTTCATTGATCGGTGTCACGTTGTCAATCGTCTCTTGTTATAAGTTACTAAAATGTGAACGGTAAAAAAATATCAAAACACACTGACTCATAAATGAAGATTGCAAGACCGAAACGCGGTGGCAGACCAAAACAGCTAGGCAGGTCTGAAAATCTGATACCATCAAACTACAAATTCGTCACCCTATAGACACAAGGGAAAATCTCACAATATATATAAATCTTCTTGGGCTTCTACTATAAAGGAAAATTTCTGAGCTGAGTTGTCAGAGCCATTGATCATTGCTATCACCTCTCCTTCCACAGTTTGTTATCTGCGGAAACGCCGAAAAATTTATAACATTTCCCGTATTTAAACACCAACGTCACACCTTTTATTTCCTACTGTGTCAAACATCACAGATTTTGTTTTTCGCGCTGACTCATTTCAAATCGAGATTTTATCGCTTTTTGATACCGAGCCTGTTTGTTTGTCTACCGCTGCGTAACGCTTAAACGGCCCGATGGAATGGCCTGAAACTTTATTTGGTCGCGCCGCGGCCGGGAAAGGGTTGTAAAGGGCAGGACGGTGCCAAGTCATGATTTCATACGTCGGGGCCGATAGGGTACCCTTATCTGGCACGCCAAAGCCCCCAGGACATATCTCGATATGCAAATATTCATATAAACAACCCTAACCACAGCCAATGCACTTGGCATGGCTCCCCGCTGTCAAGCCAAATAAGATAAAAACAACTGTGTCACATCCACAGCTCTCGGATACAACCAAGTTGTCTCCTTTGGTATTTTTACACATCGTCAATGCATATCTGTTATGCATATTGTAAATTACATTTGAAAATATAAATAATTCTTTATTTAAAATTAATTTTTTTAACCTGCAATTGATCAATTATGCTCTTTCAGAGTATAAAAGGTTTATTTAACTTTTGTCTTAATTTTTTTCTTTTTTATGAGGGTTCGCAACAGCAGAGGTAATATAAACCCTCAGGGTGCCGGTGTTTTTGAAAAAAAAAATTTGTAAGTATGTCGGGTTCGAATGCAGGGCCGCTGGATTCGAACCCAGGACCTTTACCTTACAGTGATGAGCGCCGTGTCAACGCCTAAACCGTTGCGGCCACCGACGCCCCTCTCTTAAATTAATTAATCTTTAATCAAGGTTTTGGTTGAGATAAAAAGTCCGTGACACGAGCGGGATTCGAACCCACGATCTTCGGCTAAATACGCCGCTGCTCTATCACTTGAGCAATCGTGACTTCGACCACTCGGACACCAACTTCCCATCACAACCCCAATTTTCCCTTTTTTTGCCACTTTTCAATCACTTTTTGTCTTAATTATTTTGTGTTTTCTATCGTTCAGGCCTATACCTCTGTCAATTTTTTAACCTTTTTACTTCTCAAAATCGAGATTAGTTTGTATAATAATAATAAACTATTCAATGATATGTTTGGAGAAACTTTATTTATTTTATAAATATTTAAACGTGTAATCTCACATCACATATTGTTTCACCGGTTTGTACTTTACAATACAACCAACAAGCTGTCTAATCGTTCAAGTCCAAGTTATTTTCTTTTTTAAATATTTTGTAGAAACCGTTCAGATTAGGTATTCACACGTTTATAAAAGAAAAAGGTAGGGAAAAAACGAACAAGAAACTTATTAAAATCTGAACAAATCCCAATCTGCCCTATTGAAATAATCATTCGTGGTTCAAGATAAAATGTAGCACGCTACGTGACACATGCAACCTGTTCGACATACATATTAATGTACTTCTAACTGTTTTGATTTTTCAAGCTGCAATACAGTTACAAACATTACAAAATTTATCGTTTTCGTTATGGTTTGCAACAATGGGAGAGGGATGGCGCATTGTGCATATGGTATATCCAACTTTAACAACACTACTTTAACTAAACATCCAACTTTAAATTTGTTCACTAATTCCGTGGTCCACTTGACCAATTAATATACTACAATTAATTAATGTTTTTAGTTGAGATTAAAAAGTCAATGGCACGAGCGGGATTCGAACCCACGATCTTCGGCTAGATACGCCGCTGCTCTACCACCTGAGCTATCGTGACCTCGGTCCACTCGGACATCAACCTCCTATCTCAACCCCACCTTATGAGTTTTCCCTCCTTTTGCCATTTTTCTTTTTCATTTTTTTCATCACAACTAAAAATCTTAATTAATTGTCATGTATTAATTGGTCAAGCGGACCACGAAAGTAGTGAATTAATGATTTAAAAAATGAAGTACACTTCACTAAAGCTCTCCGTCGCCATTTCAATTGTCGTCGAGAATCTAAACCGATTACACGACATTTGAAAAATGGCAAAAGGAGGGAAAACTCATAAGGTGGGGTTGAGATAGGAGGTTGATGTCCGAGTGGATCGAGGTCACGATAGCTCAAGTGGTAGAGCAGCGGCGTATCTAGCCGAAGATCGTGGGTTCGAATCCCGCTCGTGCCATTGACTTTTTTATCTCAACTAAAAACCTGAATTTAAATTTGTTGTTCTTTTTGATTCGCTAAGCACAATTTCCGTTTGCGATTTGCTTTAAAAACGTCAAGATGACAATCCATTCCTTTAAAATAAAGTCGTAGGGGGATGAAAATCAGATCCGGTATAACAATGCAGTTCGGATCGATCAACCGGAAAGCCAGATGAACCTGTAACAGCCCCTCTTAATAATAAAAGACTTTCCGAAAGTCCGACCTTTTAGTTTCGTGTTTTTTGTTTTCTTTTCCTACGAACGGCTTACTAGCCAACTAATTACATTTTATCCATAAAAATGTAAATGATTTGTTATTTTCTCATGTTAATTTTGAATAAGGTTCAGGATTTGTTATAACTCCGCAGGGATTGAAAATAATACAAAGTAACGAAGAAAAAGCTTAGTTTTTCCATTGTTTTTATTCATTCTTTAGCATAAAATTATATAAAAATTAAAGTAGAAAACAAATCCCTGATACACATGAAATATGGAAAATAATGGGATGTTAATTATAAAACTATTCCTGTCTATAGATGGTTTAAAAAGGTTCGAGAAGAAAACAGGAGTTTTGATAATTAAAAACAGGATATTTTTGTTGCAATGCCCTACAATCCAGCTGAAAAATCCGCTCTTGGTAATAACCAATATAACCTCCTGAAGCTACGACACAGGGGTCGCGTGAGTCGAAATTCTCACCCGTTCAGCTACAAACGCGACCTCGCCTCTTCGGAAATTATTCGGGCTACTAAACTCCAACACAAACAGAAAATCAGTTTTCTAATCGCCTATAAAGTCAAAGTCTTATGGTACCGAAGAAAGGAAGAACTGTCCTAGCAATCACCAAGTGAAAGATCATATTCTTGGACATTATACCGTCAGAGAGGTTTCTCGATAATAATTTTCATTGTAATAAACATTCTGTTTTTGTAGCAAATGTAAAAATAAATAAACAGAATTAACAAACTACAGCAAAACGCCTCCATATAAAACAAAGAAAAGGAAACATGCCTGTACTTCCATGCATCTTTAGCAAAATTGACCAAGTCGTTCCAGCAATTACCGTTCAACAGGGTGATACACACATCCTCCTCCCTGTCCTTCAGTTTGCACCTTGAATATAATTTAGATTGAACGGTACACCTATATTTATATACATAATTACATTTATATGAACTGTTTTCATCTAGTTTTAATTATCCATTTAATGAAATTGGTTTTTAACAATAGAATTACGAAGATTTATAGTTTCATCTATTTCGTGATCAGACGTAGGTCTTATCCGTTCCTCAGGTGAAGTTAGGTTCCCTGGGCTGTCGAGAGCACTTCAGCCCCATTCTTTTCCTATTCCATTCAAAAAGAGTGCTGGAGTACTCGGTTTTCCTCCATCACCTTTTATACATATTGTTGAACTAATTTAATCGAAGGTTGATGGGATACTCAATATTCCACAATCAACCCTCTTGCACTAATAAATACCTTCATTATCAATATACACATCAGACAACACAAAACTAGATATGTACACCTCCCGTATACAATAGAACTGCCCTGTTTCCTATAAAAGTAGTAGCATGAGACCTAAGTACTCGCTGCCGTGCTCAAGCACGATTCTCATATTGTGTAGCACTCCTACTCGCGCCTTATATATAGCCAAAGAAAAACACCTTTCAATTGGACACATCGAGCAACCTTTCTTAACATGACGGATACATAGGCGAACTTTGGGCCGAAAGTAAGTGTTCGAGTGTCAAACTCGTATGGCCTATTCTTAATCGAGCGAGGATCATAACTCTTCTCGTAATAGTTGGTTATAATGTAAAATTTGACTTACTTAGCTTGTAATAAATACATCAACCACCATATTCTCTGTAAATCACCATTTGCATCGAAGAACGAAATTTTTCTAAGGAATATCTAATGCAATTGGAAGTTGACAATCAAATTTTTCTGTAGTTTCAGGTATGAACTTAGTAAAACTTAATTTTCTAATTAATACAACTTAGTACGAGAAGAAAACACAAATTATTATGATTAAAATTATATTGAAATTAATAATTTTATTTATTAGGCTTACAGCTGTTAATTTAAATTAGGTTTTCGAGTTTCAACACCTGATGTGCCTAGTAAACAATCTTCAATCAATAAATTTTAAGAAATCAGCGAAGTGATATGTCACTATCCAACGGTCTCTCCTCAGGTTCGAACATGTCCGACATGAAGAATCCCATGAAAAAAGCAGAAACAGCGCCGATAGCCATACCAACGAGTACATCGGACCAATGGTTGGTGTAATCGCTTACTTTCGTTATAGCGATAAAGATAGCAATGGAGATCAAGAGCATTTGTATGGCGCGTTTGGCCAGGTGCATCCCTTTCCAGCCTAGTTTCGCTTCGATAAACAGGCTGATATAAACCATGGCCAAAGTGACGGCAGTCGAACTCGAGGACGGGAACGACTGCCGTAACTCCCACACTCTCTGTTTTGATGCCATCGAACACGTGAAATTTGTCAAGTAGACGTACCTGTTGTCAGGCGAATTGCAGTCAATACCGGTACCACAGGCTTCGTAAAAGGTTGGCCTCAACCTACCGATCATCAGTTTAATCATGCAGTTGAACGAAAGTGATAAACATAAGCCGAAGATGTACACGACTTCCTGGTTGTAAACATTATACATCATTTGGATGTTGAATCTCCGATGTTTGCAATAATAAAGTATAATCTCGTACGTCATCAATAATAGCAAGGGAAATATAAAGGTAATCGTAAATATGGTCCACTTAGACGTGGTAACTGGTTTTACTGGATATTTGATCGACGCGTCTTCACAGAAGAATCCTCTTTGAAACGGATCCAGGACGTTCTTGCTCATTAATGTGAGTGCAAACATTAGGACGACGACTGCGCAAACACCATCGCCTATCACTCTATACGTACGAACGGACATCTTTTCTCCAAACATGAAACGGTCGCAAATAGATATTAAACTTTATGTTTCAATGCTCATACATGTGCATTGGATATCAGATGTTTTATTGTTACTAAATGTAATTAAAATATCAAAATGAATCAAAAACGTGATTTTTTTATACGACCTTTGACTGTATGTAGATTTTATGAGTTTACACTGTTTTTTTTAAGTCTATCATATGCGCTGACCTACGGTCGGTATCAGGCTGATTAGCCTCTCCATCGGAAATGATTGGCCTTAAAATGGAGATATTAGACAATTTTAAACTACAGTGAGAAAACGGGTACAAAATTAACAAATGAAACATTTTAAAGTATAAAACACATTGAAAACACCTCCCAAAAACACTATGCTTATTCCTTACAAAATAATTAAGCATTGAGTAGAAAATTATAGAGAGCACGGTGAGAATCGAACCCACGACCCAGGGGAAAATGTATGTTATATTAATGAATCAGAAATATTACAGCTAATGTTCAATATGTAGATTTTATGAGTTTACACCATACATTTTTTTTACTTGCATGACATGCTCTGACCTAAGGACGGTATCAGGCTGATTAGCCTCTCCATTGGAAAAGATTTGGCCTTAGACTAAAAAGACCTATTTGACAAGATTATTACAAATAACCATAAAATATTGTTTTTTAAAAAATAGCTAGTAATCTTTCCTTACAGAAATAATGAATTTTTGAATTCTTTTAAGAAAACTTCTTTGGATGTTAATTGTACAAATTACGCTTTTGTGTCTATAATTTGATAGACAACAAACTTCTAGCGAAGTGTACAGCCGGTTTATATAGATATCCGTGTAACATATGGAACTAAAAGAATTTTAAATGCAATGATTGGTCGTTAAAAACAGTTTTACTTAAGTACGACTTTTATTGTTGAACTACGTTGCGGTGATTTTGATGGATTATTCTTCTTTCGGTGTCTCGTTCGTTCGGTATGAGTTCATGAAGTAAAACATGTAAAATGCAAAGAGGATTCCGATGAACATTCCTACCAGGACGTCACCCCAATGGTTCGCGTTATCGCTTATTCTTCTTACACTTACGTACACGCTTACGCCGAACAATAGCGATTGAATGAATCGTTTCATCAGAACGATGGTTTTCATTATGTCTTTCATCTGAAGGTACAGAGAGATATAACTCGTCGCTTGGGTCGATATGAGAGCATGTATCGAGGGAAACGACTTCCGGGCCATTACGACATCGGATTCTACCGCGTTAGTGCACACATAATTTGTTATGTACCTGTATCTGTTCTCTGGCAAATCGCAGTCTACGTTGGGCTTGCAGACGTCCAAGAAATAAGGCCTCAATCTTCCGCACCTCAGTTGGATTATCTCAGCGATCAGGAACGATGAACAAATACCGAACACGAATACAACAACCTCGTTGTAAACTCTGTACAACGCGTTCTTATCGAGGGTGTGGTTATATGCAAAATATTCGATCATTTCGTAAATCGCAATGAAGAAAGTTGGCAGCACGAGAAACCACCCTATCAACCAAATCGGTGTTAATGATGGCGGCTTTTCAGGATGCTTGATCGAAATGTCTTCGCAGTCGAATCCTCTTTCAAACGGCTTCAAAGTGCTGGATGTCAGGACGACAACCAACATCACTAGTGAGCATAAACTACAAATTCCATCTCCTATAACTCTGTATCTAACCGTATTAAACATATTAATATTTATACTGTCTTCTTTCGTTGTTAAAACAAATAGGATATTTCTTTAACATGTGAATAATTAAAACATTTGTTTTATATCAATCTTATGTTTTCTTAAAACACACGCAAACATATTTTTTTTAAATCATTCTTAGGGAGCGTCGATGGCCGCAAGGTTTAGTCTTTGACACGGCGCTCATCACTGTAAGGTAAAGGTCCCGGGTTCGAATCCACCGGCCCTGCATTCGAATCCGACATACTTACAAATGGGCTTTTTTTCAAAAACACCTGCACCCTGAGGGTTTATATGACCTCTGCTGTTGCGAACCCTCGTAAAAGAAAAAAATCATTCTTACCCGTTAGCTTAAGTTAAATAAAGTTCGTACGTTTTCATCTGATTATCAGGAGCTACCTTATATTCAATAACCATCAATGGCGAAACAAATTAATTAATGGACTTCTTTTAATTACTAATTTCAAAATTCCATCAAGCACTTTTTTGGGAATCTATTTATCCCTAGTCAAAAAGAGTAATTATTGATCTCCAGCTGAATTTTATGATGAAGGGATAGGGAGGTCACAGAGGCCTCTTGCAGCTCGACGTAAAAGATAGATCAGCAATTTTACGTTTTATACCACTTGTTGGGTGACCTCAACGCTCTATGTGACCCAATGGCCCTACTCGGACGAGACAGTCCATGTCCCCGAAATTATAAAATTATGTTTCTTTTAGTAGAATTATGTTTAGTTTCTTTTCTTTTATCATTTCTATTACGTTCTGAAGTCTTATCTCTGTTGACGGACCACAATTTCAAATTGGCCAACGATCTCAATGATGAGATATGGCAATATATACTGTCGTATTTATCAGACATTTTCATTAAAATGAATCTTTAGCCTTTCTTTGCAAGGGAAGAGTATCACAACTTTCGTTACTAATGACAAAGTTCGCGCCTTCACAAGAAAAATCCAGTTTTAGGTTGAATCTGTTGAGAAAGAAGAGGTGGAGTGTTTTCCTGTGTTAAATGATTTTTTTTAATAAATCAAAAAGGAGCTTGCGAACGGTACGCCGATTTATGAATTATGCGAACACCTTCTAAGTTTGGAGATGTCGTTTGAGCACTACTTCCCAACAGCTCGAGATACAGTGTTGCAAGAGGCTGCCATACGGTCGTCAGTTTCGACAAAACCAACCCGTCTATCTTCAAGTGAATACGAATGTTCGATAGTCATTACTTCAGATTCACCTTGAAATCTACTTTTGATTCCGATACTTGCCCAAATTTTTAGCTCCGTCTGGAAAACCAAAAATATTTCCATCGCTCGTTGAAAAAGCAACACGCGTTCTTCCATTTGCTACATCTTACCTATACGAATCCGGATTTTTTATATACACTGCCACCAGAACTAGTTGTCTAAATGTTGAATCCCATATCCGTCTCCAGCTATCAAAAATTAAATCCATCCTATCCATATTGTGAATTCTAAAACAACCTCACTCTTACCATTAATCCATTAATCAATAATGTTCAAATTAATACTTCTTACATTTGGCTCGGGTTTTCCCTACCTGTTGATTCCATTTTGTCCATTTTGATTTTTTTTGTTCCGGATTTTGTAAAGAAAGTTTAGCATGTCAATCTAATGTTGTCATATTGATATTCCCCTATCACCTAATTAGAAATGGACTGGCTTATTTATAAAACTTTACTACATACTATGTATCTATAGTATCTAACTTCACTTAATTTCGAGGGGTCCCTCCCCTGGATTTTATTCGTTGAAAGTGGTCCCCTGGCTAAAATGTTTGGGAAGCCCTGCTCATTAAAACAAAAAGTGCAATGAACTGAAATTGACAGAAAAAAAATTGACTGCCTTTATCTAACCTTCTTACTACATTCAATTAAACGTAATTTAATTTTGTGTTGTTATTATGTATTTTCACTGTTAAAATTTCAATTTGGTTAATTTAATAAACCTGTTTGTAATGTATATATCCAACGGGATTTCCTTTTTAAGAATCTTTGCTAAATTTAGGTGACCAAATTATCTCGTTCCACGTTCAAAAAGTATACTTCAATAAAACTTAATTGTCTTCCTAATCTCCTTGAAATTAATCGAAAACTGTAATAAAATGCCGATAAGATTTATAAGAGAGAAAAAAAAATAATTTTCTTAAGAAACCTTGTCAGATAAGGTACGAGATTCCTGGCACTTTGCCTGTTTTTACCTTCTAGCCAATAGGCGGAATAACTTTCGCGGTGGGACAGGACGAGACAGATTTTTTTTTTCTTTCGGTATGTCATTGCATTCAGATCGTCCGGCCAATGGATAAATAGCCGATACCTAATCTTCCAGAGTCCTAGATACGAGATGAGGGTTCGATTTCTTCCCCCGGCTTAAAGAACAAAAACTCGAAAAGGAAGCCGAGATCCTTGATTAGAATCCAATGCGAGATTAGCCCAATCTGTCAAAATAACAATGAGGAGGAACCCTTCGGGGAGTACCCTCGGGAGAAAAAAAGGTGCCCAGCTGCGTTCGGTGCTGTTTGGAGAGAAAAAAAGGTTTACACGCCACTAGATATCGATCTGGATTTTTCGTTCGCTAAGATTGCTATACAAGGTGTCATCTGAGCAGAAGCACTTCACATTCTCTTATTTCGATAAAACTAAACCTAAATAATATTTGTTTCTCTGAACCAAGACCTGTCTAAAAATCGTATTGGAAATAAGTCCCTGGTTTTGCTTTAAGCGTAAACATTGAATCCATTTAAGTGATATAACCGATATATGTTGCTAATAACTTAATAATTAACTGTGTTGATGAAGAGGAAAATGACCACGACGATTAATGTGTTTGGGATCTGGTTTCTGGTCAGATTCATCATCAGGGCCTGAATAAATATTACAACATCATATTATTTCATTAATTACAAGTTTTTGGGTTTTTTAACTTGCAGCATCCTATTTCTCATATTGATATTGCAGAATTACGAAAAAAATCCGACGACATCGTCTACGAGGACTCGAAGTACATGAGGTTGGTTAAGTTGAACTAAGTCAAGTTTTTTCTGTTTTTTCTATAATTGACGTAAAACTAGATGATACCATAATTTCAATAGAAAATAAGTCGTTTTTTAAAGGATTTGCAAGGATATTGGTCTCCCCAAAATACAGGTTCAGTCGATAATGGTCAAGTCGCTGACCAGAAACCATCCCAAACACATTAATGATTAACTAATCAAACTTGTAAGTCAAAATATATATAATGACGATAATATTGTAAAAATCTTTGCACTACAATAAGAGCTCATATTAGTTCATATATTATGCGTGAGGAGTCAGAAAATTCAAAAAGTGAAACTGGGAATCGAACCCACGAGTCGGTGACACAATCTTTTGATCATTTTATTCTGTTTTATCCGGTAATTTTAAATAATGGTTTTAAAAAATTTCCAGTTCCACCAGATCTAGTGCATTTAAATAGACAAACTGCGTAATATGACGAAATGAAAATATAAAAAATTTATTTTCCTTGACAACGAGGTAAGGACGTTTTCGGTAGGTCGAGTTATCCATTAGATACTGCACAGGCGATATGCACGCTTTTCTACAGACGATATGCTTTTCTAGTCTATTTACTACCTGGAATTTTAAAAACACAAATTTCGACATCAAATACGGAAATGATAATGGGCGATAATGATAATTTCTCTCCCACCGATAGGACCCGTGATGCGATAGTTAACAATCCATTAGATAAATTTGAAGCGTTACCTAGGCTAGTGTGGAAGGGGCGATGAGCTGTATTTCTTGTCGAATTTCTGCACAGTGATTGCACTTTATATACAAATTGTCCCAGAAGGATTGTTTTTCCTTGGTGGAGTCCATGTTCAACAGTCCATTAAATACATCAACGCTAAGGTAACAATTGATTGTATATAACTTATAGTGACTGTTACTCCAAATTTTCAGATAAAAAAATTCACGAATGTTTCAATAATAATGTTTTTATTTGGAGATCGTGAAGTGCGGTCTGGTGCGACGTAGGTTTTAGAAAAACAAATTTAAACAATGTGTGGTGTTTAGTGACTGTTAGCCAATGATTATTTGGAGATCGTGAGGTGCGGTCTCGTGCGACGTAGATTTTAGAAAAACATTTTCTTTATCATGCCAACGTTTCGATCTTTATTGAGATCATCTTCAGGGCCTGGGATTTATAAACATCGTTTGAATTTTACAAATATATGTAGGATGTGGAAAAAAAGTTTGAATTTATACAATGCTAGAAATATTTAGATTAAAAAAATAATAATTTTCTAGCATTGTATAAATTCATAATTTTTTTCCCACATCCTACATGTATTTGTAAAATTCAAACAATGTTTATAAATCTCAGGCCCTGAAACTCAATAAAGTTCGAAACGTTGGCACGACAAAGAAAATATTTTTCTAAAACCTACGTCACACCAGACCGCATCTCACGATCTCCAAATAATCATTAATTAACAATCACTGAACACCGCACAAATAACATTTCTATTTTATTCTCTTCAATCTGCACATCCATTCATCAGCTACATTCTGAATTTTTTGTGAGAAACGTGCCCAAAATTCTAATGCCTAAACAATAATGCCGTATACAATGTAAAATGTAAAGTAATTCAAGACGTACAGGAGTGCTTAACGTCCGACTACCAGTTGGGTGTGCGGACTTTACATCTTCTAATTTACAATAAGTTTTCATACTATTCTCAATAAAAATTACATTGACTACACCTGAATTCGAACTCAGTATGCCTAGTGTTACATATAATACGTTATAAAAATTATTTTCGCAAGCCACCTTTAGTACACAATACTAAACAATCCCTTTTTGTAACTCTTAACAACTGGGGAAAAATTCTCACTGATTTTTCCTGATGTTTTTAAGTATGTCAGTTGAAAAATTATTTCAATTTCATTATTTTATTTCTCATACTAACTTACCATATTTATTGAATTTCCAACTGTTTTTTAAACAATTTCTAACATTTACGTTTTCTAACTAGAACAATTTCTAAATTATAGCTTTTTTGTCATACTCTTTAAGCAATTAGACAGTTGATTATAACGATAATATAGGTTATTTCTTAGCAGTTCTTATAATACTAATAATCCCTTTTCTCTGACTTTTTAAATAATTATTCAATGGTAATTTGGTCTTTACCGATCATCCTCCACCCTCGCTGCGTTGGCCTTAGACGCGTTTCGTCCAGATGCCACGCTGAAGATGATGAAATGCCGGTATCAATCAAATTACACCTTCATCACCCCGCAAACCACACAGAGAAACTTGACAATTATTCTGTTCATTGTGACGCAATTATAAATTATATTAAAGGTTATGTGTGGTGTTTTGTGACCGTTAGTCAATGATTATTTAGAGATCGTGTGATGCGGTCTGGTGTGACGTAGGTTTTAGAAAAACATTTTCTTTATCGTTCCAACGTTTCGATCTTTATTAAGATCATCTTCAGGGCTCAAAGTGTTTGTTTTCTGCGTAATTGTGTCATTCTTCTTCTCTCAACACGACACACAAGAATGACACAATTACGCAAAAAACAAACATTTTGAGCCCTGAAGATGATATCAATAAAGATCGAAACGTTGGCACGATAAAGAAAATGTTTTTCTAAAACCTACGTCACACCAGACCGCATCTCACGATCTCCGAATAATCATTAAAGGTGATTTTATTATTTTGTATATATTCACATCAATGGCAATTCAATTTAATCCATTTATTTCCTTTTATAGCAGTTTATATTTATAACATACTTTTTTTACAACATAAAGTGTTGAAAGACATCATAGTTTTTAAAATTTCAAAAAAACAACCTTTATATTATTAGCAAAGCTACATTTTACTAGAATGTAACATAAGGCTGTACGTAATATTGTACTTTCACTGTTTTCTGTTCAATAACGATATATATATTTTTATCGACCTTCGTCCAATTTTAATGTAATTAATCTTAAAATATCAACTTATTTCGGTCGAGTATTCATGGAAGTTTTTCGTTTATTTGTGGTGTGTCAGTTTGTCATCTGAGTAGAGCTATCTTGATGTTAGTATAGATAAAGACCCAATCTACCAAGATAACGGTTATTTTCGTTCCTTATCACCAGTAGATAAGAAGTGTCTCATCCTGGCTTTATAAAAAAAAAGAAGAAGAAATTACTTATGCTAAATCGTTCCTCGTTCATTTGGATTTCTAGATCACAGTTTAAGTGATGTGTTTTTGGAAATAAGGCTTTCATTCACCGATCAAACGAATCTGTACAATCTCAACCCATTTGCGCCTAGGCCAAAAAGAACAATAGAGTATTCTCGGTTTCGGGACAGACATCAAGATTGGATTGACTTGGGTGAAAATATACTAGATTGCTCCTTCAAAAGGCGTTCAACGGGTAGAATAGTTCCTGGCGTAATTTTAAAGAAATAAGGTATTTCCATATTATATTTTTATTTTATTAGTCTCGTTAATGCCCAGACAGAACAGTTTTATAAATCAAGTCCAATTTTATAATTTAAAAATATCCTGCGTATTTCAAACATTATCTCAAAGTCCGGAGCGTTCTTCAGCTCTTGGCCTTCCGGCACAATCTTGTGAAAGATGATTGTACGTCTTATCTGACATGAAGTGTTCGAACTGACCATAATGTTCTTTTTTAAACAATTTTAAAGAAAAAAAATGCTATTCTATTAATAATATTAAAATTGTTGTATTTACAGCTAATGAAAGGGTTTTTTACTTAATATTTAAACATCAGTTATATTACAAAACAACGTAGACAAAACAATCTTTCAAAGATGCTTATGATATTTAAGTTATTTCTCTTTATCTGGATCTTTGCAGTAGATAAATATCTGTAGATTTTTCATAGATATAGGACAAGTCTTAAGAGAATGAATTGTAACCGAACAATACGTATCAAAGGGAAAAACACTGATATCTTAAGATTTTAATCTGGTCCCTTTCAACGCCAACATTGTTGTTTTCAAAGCGATTAAATGAACAGAACTTCACAAAATTTCACGGATACGGTTTTGTTTCGCATTGTATTTTTCAACTGAAAGAAAATATTGCAAGATTGCATGGGGATTTAATGACACAAAAAAATTAAAATTCGTATTGTATATTGATTTTTTTTATTGTTCTCCTGAAATAATTTTCAAAAATTTAAATCATGACTAAATTACTTCAATCCTTTGCCTTTTAAACTGGTAAAAAATAACGATTCTGTTATTACTATGACGACTAATGATAATATAAAGTTTAAATAGCATAAAAAATAAACAAGATTTGAAACTATCTTTTTCTCTTCTTTGGTATTGTTGTTGTATATAATTTTAACAATCGTTGTTTGCTTATCTCACAATTGTTCTTTTTAGCACACCACGAACAGGGTTAGTTTATCTTTTAATTTTATGTCTTCTCGGAACTCGTTCTCTTATCTTTTTGACTAAGACAGCTTAATAATGTAACCTACCGAGAAAAAAAAATTGTACAAATCCGATATGATTTTTGTGTATTATTTATAGAAAAATCTTCTTGACGCGTCTTCGGTGGCATTCGGACCACAGCCCGATAGGAATAGTTTATTTGTAATAATTACTTGAGGCGGAAGGCGTACGATTTTATCGAAAGAAAGCGTGGTAGCAATGAGCTGCCGCCGGACGCCCTCGCGGGCAAGGGAATTAGCATTTATCCTCTCTTAAAGTTAAATTATTTCTTTGTAGAACTTATTGTTTATTTGTAAAATTTTATGCGATATACTGAATGTATTACGTTTTGGACTGTACATATGCTTGGAATATGTCGACGGTGATGGACATGTCATGCCGTTTAGGGTTGTACTGATCTGCCTATAATCGCTGGTTTGGTCTGTCAGATATATTTCAGTACTTCGCATTCCAATGGTGTCTATGAAAAAAAAACACGAATGACAAAACAACACACACAGACCAACCACCGAACATGGCGAAACATCGAAAAAAGTAGGTCCAGAATGATCGGTCAAACTGCAATTACAAAAAGCCATTTGGATAAATAACAGTTTTGAAAATCCATTGAGGTAATAAAACATAGATAAAATGACTAAATTTGGTTTACACTGAAATTCATGTTCTTATAAATATTTGTAAAATCCAGGAATTCAATGTAAACTGCTTGGAGAATAATCGCGTTGACAAATTGGAACAACATTAATTTTTTATATGTTTTATGTTTATAACTTTCTTTACATATTAGTCAAGACGTTAGTTTAGAACAGTTTTGAACTTGAAATATAAACGAAAGTGGCAGCCGTTTTTCCACGTACCATATTTGCAGTGCGATGATAACTCGAGTTTGTTTAACCCGATCGAAAGATATGTATGTTTTTTTTATTTCTGTTACAAGCGATATTGTTCGTTTAGTTCGAATGTGCTCGCTGGATGAAAAAAAAGATTATGCAATCAGGAAAAATGTAAATTTTTATGTCTCTCTAATTGCTCGGGGCTCCACGAAAAATTTGTCGACTTCAGTCAACTTAAAGGTTTTTTCCCCAAAATGGTAAAAATGTTAAATTTGGCCAAATTTTAAACACCTGCTTGTAAATTTCGTGTTTTACGATTGGTGTAAGTAGTCGACTAACAATGAGTCAATGCTACAAACAAGAAAGGTGTTTACCTCCAAATCCAATAATATACAAACACCTTAAATTTAATAAAATACAAAAACCATAATGAATACAATAATAATATTGGACTTATTATAATTATTCTACTGACATGTAAGTACAGTGAAATTTGGATGTTTTCCTACACCGACACATCGTAAGGAAGTGCTCGTACCTTGATAAAATCTCGTTAAATCGTAAACTAACGCATTTCGGTCTCTTCGGTGTAACGTATTTTTTCCGACTCCCAAGTCGACAAAACGTCTTATAATTAGTATTTTAGCATTGAAATCCCGATAGAACGTATGAATAGAGTTGTAGGTTTTCCTTATAAGAATAAGCTGCATGGACCACAAGGGTTGTGACCAGTGGTGGGTATTTCCAAGATTTTGTTGGTAACATCCCATGCTACTGAGTCAAGTAAACGGTGTAAACATCATAGCTTACTTCAGTATTGCCGACGAGACATGGAAGAAGGTAACGGAAGCCACAATAAAAAATTGCTTCTGAACTTGCGGTTTCCCTGTAGGATACATCGGCCGTGGAACCGGAAAATGAAATCCAAGCCCCCCCACTCGTACTAAAAAAATGAAGAAAAACCCGCTACTTTTCAGGACTTCGTTAATTTTAACGTTGACGTTACTGGAATGCTTAACGAGAAAGAAATTTTAACTGAAACAGACGACGTGGATGGTGAAGAAGACGAAGAATCTGGAGAAGTTGCGAGTATCAGTCGTACATAGGCCAAGAAAATGACGAATCGCATACGTAATTAGATGGAACCAAACTTGGATGAAAATGTGTTCAAGGCAATTCACATTATTAAATCAGCAATAGACAGCACATGTTTAAATAATTTTTTATTGCAAACACGAAGTGATCAAAAGTGATAAAAAATTATATATAGCCAGACTTGCATCCCTCACAGTAAATGAAGCAGCAAACCGCAGAATATTTGTTCAAGTTGGATGCATAGATTGAACCATCNTGTGTGTGTGTGTGTGTGTGTGTGTGTGTGTGTGTGTGTGTGGAGTTTAGTTACCCTTAGTTAATGATTATTTGAAGATCGTGAGATGCGGTCTGGTGTACGTAGGTTTAGAAAAACATTTTCTTTGTCGTGCCAACGTTCCGATCTTTATTCAGATCATCTTCAGAGCTCAAAGCGTTTGTTGGTGGCACTCTCAGCAAGACACACAAGAATGAGACAATTACGCAGAAAACAAATACTTTGAGCTCTGAAGATGATATCAATAAAGATCGAAACGTTGGCACGATAAAGAAAGTTTTTTCTAAAACCTACGTCACACTAGACCGCATCTCACGATCTTCACATAAATATATATATTTGCATATAAAAAAAAACTTTCCTTACATACATATATATACAATACACTAAACAAATTTAAACTTTCGAGAAAACGTATTTTTTATTTTTACCCTAGATGTTGTGAACATGTAGACCTTTCGTCCCTTTGAAGATACTATTTATCGGAATTTAATTGCACGTGATTGTAAAAAATTTATTTCATTATTTACAAATGTCTTGAAATGGTCATGTTAATCGAATAATTTGTAATACATGCAATAACAGTACTTCAAACGAAAACAATGAAAAAACCAAGTATAACTTTGAGACGATTGTGATCCACCCAGCCACGATGTGTCGGCTTCGCGCCATCTTTAGTATGCGGAGAAATCTCAACAAAACTATATTAATAAAATATTTATATCATTGATATTTAACAAATATCATAAAACAAAGAGGGTTTGTATTTGCTACGTGCCAGTTTAAGATTCGTTTCCTGGTTTTTGTAATTGTATTTAAAAAATTTTATCTATAAGTCAAGTACTGTATCTGATCTTGAATAGGTGGACGTAAAGCCCTCCTGACGAAGAAATTTTGTTACACATGTAAATCATGTGTGTACACTCCATTGAGTAATTTCGGCCAATTGTAACTTCGTGGGAAAAAAATGTGTTTAATTTCTTTCTCTGTTATTTCTTCTCGCTACATTCTTTAATTGTGAGACGTGAATTAATTTTTTTTAATAGTTCGTAAACAATCTTTTTCCGAGTACTCTTCTCCATTGAACTCTTATGCTATCTATCTATATATGCTTATACTATATATGCTAATTACAACTTAAAATATAAAGGTTTTATTATATTGATTGATAGCAAAACAGCAACTCGAAACTTTTATGAGGAAATCTCTCGGTTTTATATTGATTTTAAGAGATTGGCCTTATACCTCTCACTTTTTCTATCTTCTCTCTCTCTCTCTCTCTCTCTCTCTCTCTCTCTCTCTCTCTCCCTTCTCTTTCCTTCTTCTTCTTATTCTTCTCATTCACTATTCTCTCCTTCTATCACACATTTTAAAATATCTATTTCTCATTTATCATTTAACTCTATTTCTCTTCCTCTTTCATTCATTTTCCTCATCAACACTAATTCTTTCAGTAATAATGTATGTAACTTTATTTGCAATATATGTAGGAATACTGTTGTAAAGAGAGTAAAGAAACTGCACCAACTTTGTTCAGAATTAAGTCTAAACTAAATTATTTTCTTGTCCTAGCTTAAATATTATTGATAATAAATAAGGGCAATATTAAGAAATAATACTGGTGTTAATTGGTGCAATGCATCGTGTTGATATTTTTAGACTTACTTCATTGAAAGCTTTCGTAGTTCAATTGTTTACTTATTCTTCCATTGACCCTTAGGTTATTTCTTACATTATGTTTTGTCTGTGAGAATAGACATTTTGTAAATTAAAGAGT